CACCCTGCACATGCCATATAACAATCTTCCTAAGATCTCACTTTCATCCCATCCCTTCCTAGCTCAAATCTATCAGTGGCTGCCTATTGCCAACAGGATGAAACCCAAACTCCTCAGCATGCCTTCCAAGGCCCACCAAGTCTGGACGTAACTGTGTTTTCTAATCTTCCCCACACCTTCTCCCATACCCTAGTCCTCTGTTCTGGCCTCTGCTTCCCAAATCTCCTTTGGTCGTTACCAACCCACTGCCTTTGCTCATGTTCTTTCCTCACTTCAAGCCCCTTTCCTCACCTGCATCTTCACCTGTCAGATTATACCCATGTGTTATGGATTGAACTGTGGTCCTCCCCCACCCCCCCAAATACGTGTTGTAAATTCTAACCCCTATACCTGTGGTTATAATCCCATTTGGGAATGAGTTTTCTTTTATATGTTAATGAGGTCATATTAGTGTAGGGTGTGTTTTAAGTCAATCTCTTTTGAGATATAAAAGGAGCAGTTTAGGCATAGGAGCAAGGAAGCATAGATGGAGGAAGATGATGTCACGCCATATGACATCTCCAAGGAACCAAGAAACAGAAGCTGAAAAGAGACAAGGACCTTCCCCCTAGAGCCGAATGAGACAGAAGGCCTTCCCCTAGAGCTGGCACCCTGAATTTGGACTTCTAGCCTCCTAAACTGTGAGAAAATAAATTTCTGTTTGTTAAAGCCACCCACTTGTGGTATTTCTGTTATAGCAGCACTAGATAACTAAGACACCATGCTTCAGGGACAGTTCCAGCCTCACTTCCTCCATGAAGCTTCCCCTGACCATCTGGTGGAATGACTGTGCTCATTCAGCTTGTGGGCATCTTCTCAAGAAGATGACCAGCTCCTTAAAGGCCCCATCTCCCATGCCTCTGAATCCTTACACAGGGCTTAGTACAAAGCCTACACAAAACAGGCACTCAATCAACACCTGTTCATTTAGTGATGAAATTACAGGTACTTTTCCTTTTTTTCTCAGAGAACTGGCAAAGGTAGCCATGTCATTCTACTCAAGGGGTGTTTTGAGGACCTGCTATGTGCTGAACACTGTGCTGGTTGTTGGGGGAAGGAGGTGATTCAAAGAAAAGACCTTAAATTATGAAGATGTTCTCATTCTAGGGCTCATCATGGGTGGGCTTTAAGGGGCCTAGAACCCTCTGAAATTGTATGTAAAATTTCCTAAATATGTGCATGTGTACATTGTTCTGGAGAGAAGATTCAAGGGTTTCATTAACTGCTCACCTTTAACCACCTTAAAGTACATGGGCCACTGCTTTAAGGAAAGAGACACAAGCCACCAATCTTCATACCTGTGCATAATGTTAAGTGCTCAATGGAGAGAAGGCACTGACCAGTGTTGTTCTGTCAGGGGGAAGGGAGAGATGGAAATTGAGCTGTCCTTACTGAATGGGGGGAAATTCCATAAGGAAGAGAAGGGGAGAAGGGCATTAGAGGCAGAGTATGGACTGAGCAAAGGTTTGGAAGCTTGGGAACATGTCGTGTCTTTAGGGAGAGGTCTGTAGTCTGATGAGGCTGGGGCATGGGGTGTGGAAGCCACAAACTAACATAAAGGACCCCTGCTGTTTGCCCCATTTGGAGGTTCTTTTAGGCTTAGGGTCCAGGCACAATCATGTGGCCTAAAGTGAGTCCACATCACAGCGAGGCCAAGGGAGAAACCAGTCAGCCCTCCCCTCCACTGGGTGGGCGCTAACAGGAGAAGTCAGGGGCACCTGTTCTAGTGGCTGAGACGGAGGCACTGCAAGGAAGTATTTAGGTGCTTTTCTGTACGGAGAGTGCAAAGCTGGCCAGCCCAAGCAGGTGCTGGGTGTGGGGCTGGCTTCCTCCAGATACCCCATGATGGGTGGGCAGACGGTGGTAGAGATGAGAAAGGCAAGAGAGGGAAGGTTGTTTTTTCCTTAGAGACCAAAAAACAAATCTGGGTCCACACTGCATGGGACAGGTCCCTCGACATCTAAACAGCAGATCCCCCAGGTAAGCAGCCCCTGGGGGCTTCAGAGAGGGAAGAGTTTGGAGACCCAGCCCTGAAGGCCAGCGCATGTGGGCATCAACAACTGACCCACTGATGCAGACCTAGCTGGAGGGCACCCAACACCCCAGGGCCCAGGCCCTCCCCCTAGAGGGCAGTTCAGGCTTTCTCTTCTTCCCATAATGCACCAGGCTCACTCACTCGTTCCTCAGGGCCTCTTGCTTGGAACCTTCTGTTCCCTCATGGTCAGTTTTCATTACTGTGTCTCTTCCTCAGGGGAGCCTCCCTTGGCCACCCAATCTGAAGTAGCTGCCTCTGCCCCAATCAGCCTCTCTCATATCAACTTGTTTTATTTCCTTCACAGTGTTTACCATTATCTGAGATGATCGCAGCTACCTATTTGTTGACTTGTTTGCCATCTCTCTGTACCTCTAGACAGAAATCTCCCTGAGAACGAGGAAAGGGAATGGGGGATGTGAGGTGTTCTTGGCTCTGAGCTGCCACCCTATACTGGCAGGCACTGTGGGCCTCTCAGGCCTTGTTTGTCTACCTGACAAGAGGGGACGATGGCCATTCCCTTCCCCCTAGGGTGTGATGTGCCCAGGCCCCACAGACTGCGAGTCCATGCTGATCTGCTCCCAGAAAACACCTTCTCCAGTTGCCCGGGTCACTCTGGCCTGAGTCTTGGGTTAACTTTCCTTTCCTGCTCCTCACAGGTGGGAGGACACCAGGAAGAGGTTCCCAAGTGCCTGGGAGGCCTCTGCCAGCCAGGAGGATGATGCCTCATAAGCCTGTGCTCCCTGGGGATGGGCTAGTTGCCTGCCACCGGGATATCCGCCCTGACAGGGCTATACTTGTACTCTCCTGTGTCTGGGGGACTCTCCAAGGAGCCCCCACTCTACTCCCTGTCTCCCTTTCCATTGGAGCCTTCCCCTCCCTCCTACTTGAGGGTAGACTTGATTGGTCAATCCCATGGAGGAGAAACAGCTGGAGAGGGGCCCCTGCTCCCCCGAGGCTCGCAGAATAGTCCTTAATATATCATATTCCTAGCAATTCCCAAGCAATCATCTCTCTGTTCAGGATAATAAAACGGAAAGAATCCCCATAGGAACAATTAATGTTTTCCAAAACTGAAGGCGAAAAGCATTCCAAAGTCACACAGACTTTTCTGGGTTATCATCAGGGTAGGGGATTATTGGGAAGGAAAAGTTGGTTGGGAGGTGGGGCAGTGGTGAACACACACACCCTTGGAAGATGTCTCATGCTGTTTGTGTAAGTGTGTATGTGTGTGCGCGTGTAGGGGTGTGCCATGGACACACGAGCCTTTTGCACCGTGTCTGTCACCTGGTTAACTGTGCTCCCTCCCTGGCAAAAGGGAGACAGGGAGAGACTGAAGGCCTGTGGCCTGTCCCACTTCTGAAAATCAGACCAGCATTTCCTTCTCTGGACTTTAGAGCCAGAGTTAATTACAATGAGTGAATACATGTAAGTGTGTAGCACAGTGCTCGTCAGCTAGTGAGGGCTCACTAAACAACAGCTGTTCTTATCCCACAGCTGCTGTTACCATTACAGTGAACGCAGCACTGTGGTTATCCCGCAATTCCGACGATCCGAGCAGGCATTTGTAGACAGTCTGGCTTCCCCAGACACCACTCCCACTGCGCTGCCTCCTATATCCCCAGCACCCAGCACATGGTGAGCCCTCAGTGACTGCTTAATGGAACCAAGATGGGAGCACTAACGGCCCCTCTGCTCCCCTTCTCTCATTCCACATGCTCTGGATCTAGGACCCAACCAATGCCTGCCCACCTGGGCAAAGTGCCGCCTCTGCAGAACCAGCTTCTGCACCCAGCTTCCCCATCCCAGGCTGGCCTCAGACACACTCTCAGGCACCAAATTCCCCAGGACCTGGAGGAACCAATGTCTGGAACCGGGACGACTCTGCCCCATGGAATCAGGATTTTGTGCATAGAATATTAAATTTTACATTTAAAGCTGTCTGTCATGGATGATTTATCAGACCCAGAGAAGGCGAAGGTGGTTTTCCTGTGAGAGAGGTGATTTTTAGCAAAGACAGGCTATGTGTATAATTCACAGTGGGATCACACAGCAATCAGGAGATTAATGGTCTCCGTCCAGAGGCTCCACTGCAGGGTCCAGGTGCTCGGGGCCTCCACTGCTCCCCTTCTCCACGCTCTGTGTCACAGGGAGCACATTGCTGGGACTCAGAATCCCAAGAGGGGACAAAGAACGACTTCTGGGTAGAATTCCCTGAGGCCATTTCTCCTCTCCCACTCTCCGTCCCTCCCTCCTTTCCATCTAGCTTGGCCAGGGTAGCTGTATGCAGTTCAGTCTACAGTTAATGCAAATGTTTGCAAATAGAAGCTTTTATATACTTATTCCATTCACCCCTTATCAGATGCCTGGAAACACGACTGAAAAGCAGTCCCTGTTCTAGGACAGTGACTTCCTACAGCAAGGAGAGCCCCTTAGGGCCTCAGACTCAAGACTCACCCGGGAGAGGCAGAACACACATCCCTGGGTGTAAAGGATGAGAGAGTCAATTCAAATGCTGCCCCCCACCCTCAACAAGGCAACAGAAGTTCTTCCAAGGAGGGGAGATGGGGGCCAGGTAAAGTTGGTTTTGTTTAATAAATATTTTTTCTGTTCCAGTTAATTGTACAAACTTGTACAGTGTTGTGGCAGTGCCAATTTAGAACTGTCACCAGACCCTTTCTCATTGGCAAAAAAACCCCTGGAATTCTGTGGCTGTTGTCTTTATTAGCAACTTTGCCATGGAGGTTTGCTGTTACCAAAGTCCATTTGACTGTATTTGCCAAGTCACTTGGAATACAGGCTTAGGTTGGTGCTCTGCCCTCTTCCTCACATCCAGAACAATCTCTTCTAGTTCCTTTAAGGCAGTCTAGCATTTTAAAGAGAAGTCACTAGGGTAACAGAGACAGTGTCCACAGGCTCAAGGGCCTACCTTTCTCTCCTTGTCACCATATTCAATGCCCAAAGTGTCCATGGCCCGAACAATGGCTGCCAGGGACTGGATGGTGTTGCTGTAGACAACGGGCTTGTACTGTTTCACGTCTTCTCCAGAGAAGCCATCTTCGTGGATGATCCTAAAGAAAAATCACACATATCAAGTCTAATGAGTGCATTGTCTCCACTCAACACAGGGAGGCACCAGCCATGTGAAGCCCCCAAGGTCAACACCTGGGTTTAGCTGGCTGAGGGCTAGGTTCAATTTGGATGCTGAGGTAATGTTTTGCTGCATTAATACCATAGAATCTGAAGAACAAATCTATCTGAACTACTGAAAAGTAGTCTGAAAAACAGAATATTGGAAAAGGAAATACTGCAGTCTTTTACATTCCCTATATACAGTGTTTAGGAGCCCTGGTGGCACAGTGGTTAAGAGCTAAGGCTGCTAACAGAAACGTCGGTAGCTCAAATCCACCAGCCACTCCTTGGAAATCCTATGGGGCAGTTCTACTCTGTCCTATAGGGTGGCTATGAGTTGGAATCGACTCGACAGCAATGGGTTTGATTTTTTTATATACAGTGACTGACTCAGTGGCTGCAACAATGGGCTCAAACATAGCAAAGATTGTGAGGATGGTGCAGGACTGGGCAGTATTTCATTCTATTGTAAGTAGGGTCACTATGAGTTGGAACCGACTCAAGGGCACCTAACAACAACAACATATACAGTGAAAGAGATAAGAGTCAACAAGGTGTTAAAAATACTTGAAAGCACTTAGGACAAGTGGGGCATGTAGTATTTTTAAGCAAAGTTCAAGTTCTTAACTTAAAAATCCACTCAGAAGCATATTATCAAAGATCCCTGAAAGAAATCTGCAACTGAATACAGGTCGTCCCTGACTTACCACGAACACAGTTACTACCGTCTGGTTTTTTTCTTTTTTCTTTTTTTTTTGGGACCTCTTATCATTAGTAATATGTACTACATAAACCAAAAACCAAACTTGGTGCTGTGGAGTCGATTCCAACTCATAGTGACCCTACAGCCCTGGTGGTACAATGGTTAAGAGTTCGGCTGCTACAAAAAGGTCAGCAGTTTGAATTCACCAGCTGCTCCTTGGAAACCCTATGGGGCAGTTCTTTATTGTCCTATAGGGTCATTGAGTTGTATGTACTACATACAATGTTAAAAACATATCTATAAGTTTATATGTAATGTTTCCAATCCCCAAAGACACATATAGATCAGATTTATAAAGATAATGATAATAAAAGGCAATAATAATGAAAACTAAAAAAAATAAATGAGGTATTCGACTTACGTCAGAACGAACTTATGATGGAGTTGTCAGAACGGAACCCTGTCATAAGTCAGGGACTACTTGTAATACAATTTTCTTTCACAGAAAACTTACAACGCTTCTAACGAAGGTAGCACAACTCACTTAAAATGCACAAATAACCAGAAAACAGAAAAGTCAAGAGAAAGAGTTTGCCTACTCTTCCAGCCTAGGCTGGGATTTCACCTCCATGTCACCCTTATTCTGGTACATCAGAACAGTGACATGGAGGGCACAAAGGTGACATCACAGTTCTTAGAGGCCAGATGACATTCTCTGCCCTCCTGTCCTCATAAACTCTGAGGTCGGGGCTGGCAAGGCTAGACATGGCCTAATGTTCCTTCTCCCTATAGATGCCGGCCACTTGATAAATGCTCGTTGCTGACAAAGATCCCAACAGGACAGAAAGCTAGAAAGAGGGGACCTCAGCCTTGCACTCAACCAAAACTTTGCAAGAATCCTCTTATAACTGACGTAATTAGGAAAGAACAAATGAATTTCAAGTCTAATATCCACCATTAGCTACGTTTTTCACATTTTTCAGTCCAACTGAATACTACTTGTCATATATACACATATTAGTGTATAATAAGCTGAGACCTCTCTACTGTCTCACCATAGCCCTTGCATTCCTTCATTTCCTTCAGCGCAGGAGAAGATTGCTAACGATTCTTTAAAAAAAAAAAATAGCTTTATGGAGATATAATTCACACACCACACAGTCCACTCAAAGTATACAATTCAATGTTTTTTCGCATATTCATAAGGTTGTGCAAACATCACCACAATATAATTTTAGAATGTTTTTGTCTCCCCCAAAAGAAATCCTGTACCCATAAGCAGTCACTTGCCATCCTCCCAACTCTAGGCAACCACTAATCTATGTTGTTTCTATAAATTTGCCTATTCTCGACATTTCATATAAATGGAACTATACAGTACAATCTTTTGTGGTTGGATTCTTCCACTTAGCATAATGTTTTCAAGATTCATCCATGTTGTAGGTGTATCAATGCTTCTTTCCTTTTTATTGCCAAATAATATTCCATGGTATGGATATACTGCATTTTATTTATCTATTCATCAGCTGATGGACACTAACAATTCTTGTTGCAAAATTTCACTTAGCTCTAGATTGTGGGTCTCTTATCCTCAGAGTAGCAGAGAGGTGGAAACTACAGAGAGAAAGAGTTCCAGACATCTGAACACGGATCCTCGTGAGTCTTCGGCTGAGTACCAGGTAGAGTAGGGTGAGACTTCACAAGCTGGGAGAGGAAAAACTACCAGAGAAAGAACAACTACCATGGAAGTTTAAGTTGAATAATTTCCAGGTACAACCACTATGGAAAATGGTATGGCGCTTCCTGAAAAAGCTAGAAATAGGAATACCATATGATTCAGCAACCCTACTCCTAGGTATATATCCAAGAGATATAAGAGCAATGACATTAATAGAGATATGTGCACCTATGTTCACTGTGGCATTATTCACAATAGCAAAAAGATGTAAACAACTTAAGTGTCTATCAACAGATGAATGGGTAAACAAACTTGGTACATACATACAGTGGAATACTCTGCAACCATAAAGAATAATGAGGAGCCCAGGAAACATAACATGGATGAATCTGGAGGACATTATGCTAAGTGAAATAAGTCAATCACAAAAGGACAAATATTGTATGGTCTTACTTTTATAAAACGTCAAGAATAGGTATACACATAGAAAGCAATGTTCTTCGACGGTTACCAGGGATGGGGGGAGGAGGGAGGGGGAATCACTTTCTAGATAGCAGACATTTGTTATTTTTGGTGATGGGAAAGGCAATACCCAATATGAGGGAAGTCTGCACAACTTGACCAAGGCAAATGAAGACACTAAGAAGTACGCAAGAATAAGGGACAATTTTGGTAAATGCTGTAACATATACAACCAAAAAGTATGTGTGTGGTTACATAGGTAGATATGTATGCATACATGTGTATAGTAAGGCATATGTGAGTACATGCACGTACATGTATAGGTGTATCTGTAGGCATATGTATATTCATGTTTATGTGTGCTGCATATATATTCATATATATAATAAAGCACATAGCGGGCACAGTTATGGAGACATCCTAGATTATACAAACACCTCACAGGATTGGTTTACTGGGTTAAAAGGCTTAGGACCACAGTTTTGTGGGACAACTCAGTGATTGGCATAACATAGTTCATAAAGATAATGTTCTACATGCTAGTTTGGTGAGCAGCATCTGGGGTCTTAAAAGCTTGTGAGTGACCATCTAAAATACAACTATTGGTCTCTACTCATCTGGAACAAAAGAGAATGAAGGAAACCAAAGACTCAAAGAAGAAACTAGTCCACAGGACTAATAGTCCACATGAACCATGGCCTCATCTGCCTGAGACCAGAAGAACTAGATGGTGCCCGGCTACCACTCTGACCAGGGACAGAATAGAAGGTCCTGGATAGAAAGCGAGAAAAATGTAGAACAAAATTCAAATTTCTAAAAAAGGCCAGACTTACTAGACCAATAGATTAGAAGAACCCCCAAAGAATATCACCCTAAGATACCCTTTGAACTTGGGACCGAAGCCACTCCTAGAGGTTACCTTTCAGCCAAATAATAGATTGGCTTATAAAACAGACAATATCACCTGTGAGTAATGTGCTGCCTTAGAAAATCAACTATATGAGACCAAATGGTCAATATTTATCCAAAAGCAAACATAAGAAGGCAAGGAGGGGCAGGGGAGGTAGATCAGTGGAAACAGAACAAACAGAAAGGAAATAATGAGAATGCTGACACATTGTGAAAATTGTAACCAATGTCATGGAACAAATTGTGCAAAAATTATTAAACAGGAACCTAATTTGCTGTGTAAACTTTCACCTAAAATTTACATTAAAAAAATTCCCAGAGCTCACCCAAGGCTGTGAGATGTTTAAGTTTTGACCAGACAGAGTGGAGAGTCCTTGTTGGGGCATTCAGCAGAGATCCCAGAAGACTCACACCATAGTAGTAGGGCTAAACTAGCCCTAGAGTAAAGGCTACTTTAGATCTGCCCTGACAAAGCTTAAAAACAAGCCTTGAAAAAAATCAAGCTGGCCAGCAAGTAACTTAACCGCCTATAGGATAAAGTCCTACATTCTTTAAATGAGGACAACAAAACCCTTCAAAACATTGCTCATAATATCTGGCATCCAACAAGAATTCCTGGACGTGCAAAGAAGCAGGAAAATGTAACCAAAAACCAGGAGAAAGATCAGTCAATAGAAACTGACTCAGAAGTGCCAGAGATGATAGAATTAGCTAATAAGGACTTAAAACTAGTCTATTTTAAATATTTTCAAGAAGTTAAAGAAAAACATTGTCTTAGTTATCTAGTGCTGCTATAAGAGAAATACCACAAGTAGATAGTATTTAACAAAGATAAACTTATTTTCTCACAGTCTAGTAGGCTACAAGTCCAAATTCAGGGCATGAACTCCAGGAGAAGGTTTTCTCTCTCTGTCAGCTCTGGAGGAAGTTCTTTGTCATCAATCTTCCCCTAGCTGAGGAGCTTCTCAGGGCAGAGACCCCGGTTCTAAAGGACATGCTCTGCTCCCAGTGCTGCTTTCTTGATGGTATGAGGTCTCCAACTCTCTGCTCACTTCCCTTTCCTTTTATCTCTTGTAAGATAAAAGGTGGTACAGGCCACACCTAAGGGACACGCCCTTTATATTGGATCAGGGATATGAGCTGACCAAGGATGTTATATCCCACCCTAACATAATCCAATCTTGCCT